GTGTTTGGGCAAAAATGTAAAGCTATACATATTGTAAAAACGTTTGAGAGTTTCATGCTACTTTAAAAGCAGTTGGCAAGCTTGGGGGGGGTAAAAAAACAAAAACGCTTCCAACCTGTGTACATGCAAAAAAATGATTTCTATGAAAATGAAAACGCGTTGGCTGTTTTTTCCTCTGATCAAATTATGAACAATTAAAAGCTTTTGCCCCCCAAACACTCATTTATGATCTATTCATGTACTAAGAAAACTAGGTATGTAGAAAAACAATGTATACACTGATCAGCCATAACATTATAACCCCCCCCCACCCCATACTGAGTAGGTCCCCCTTCTCCTGACCCGTCCAGGCATGGACCCCACTAGACCTCTGGAGGTGTGCTGTGGTATCTGGCACCAAGCAGTCAGTAGCAGACCCTTTAAGTCCTGTAAGTTGTGAGGTGATCGGCCTCCATGGATCAGACTTGTTCTTCCAGCACATCCCACAGATGATCGATTGGGTTGAGATCTGGAGAATTTGGAGGCGGAGTCATCACCTCAGACACGTTGTTGTGTTCCTCAAACCATTCTTCATCCATGTGTGCAGTGTGGCCGGGCGCATTATCCTGCTGAGAGAGGCCGCTGCCATCAGGGAATACCGTGTCCATGAAGGGGGGGGGGACTTGGTCAGTGACAATGTTTAGGTCGGGGGTTCCTGTCAGAGTGACATCCACATGAATGGAGGACCAGAGGTTCCCCAGCAGAACATTGGCCAAAGCATCACACTGCCTCCGCCGGCTTGTCTTCTTCCCATAGGACATCCTGGTGCCATCTCTTCCCCAGGTAAGTGACACACACGCACCCGGCCACCCACATGATTCATCAGACCCGGCCACCTTCTTCCATTGCTCCGTGCTCCAGTTCTGATGCTCATGTGCCCATTGTAGACACTTTTGTTGGTGGACACAGGTCAGCATGGGCACCCTGACTGGTCTGCAGCTACACAGCCCCGTACACAACAACCTGCAATGCTCTGTGTGATCAGACACCTTTCTATCAGAACCAGCAGCAACTTAAGCAGCAATTTGAGCTACAGTATCACTTCTATTGGATCGGACTACACAAGCCAGACTTGCCTCGTGGGGTACATCAATGAGCCTTGGCCGCCCATGACACCTTCACCTGTTTTCCTTCCTTGGACCATTTTTGGTCAGTCCTGACCACTGCAGACCGGGAACATCCCACAAGAGCTGCCGTTTTGGAGTTGTTCTGACCCAGTTGTCTACACATCACAATTTGGTCCCTCAAATCCTCACACTACTTGTCCATTATATCTGCTTCCAGAACATCAACTTCAGGGACAACTTCCTGCCTAATATATCCCCACCCCCATTTCCAGGTGCCATTGTAACATATCCCCCCCATCCCCCCCCCCCCCTCACTTCCAGGTGCCATTGTAACTAGATGATCAATGTTATCACTTCACCTCTCAGAGGTCACAATGTTATGGCTGATTGGGGTGTATATGTTACGGGCCAGATCATGTACCAGGTATGTCTATAGGTGGCTTCAGCCTGAACACTACAAATCAATCTCCATATGCTGCATGAGGTGCCGATGAGGTCTCTGCTGTTACAGACTTTAACCTCCGGAATGAGAAGCAGAAAATAAATATTAAAATTTAAAAAAAAGGGTCAAGTTATTAAAATAAAAAGGACACATCGAGAAATCAAAGAGAAATGCGGAAATAAATGAACTAGGAAGGAAGGAAAAAGAGCCCAACATCCTCTCAGCAAGAACTGTAATGAAGACGTTCTCTGCCGGGCCCAATATACAGTGACAGCAGCTTAAATTTAGCACTCCCCGCTCACAATAGTCACATTAGGAATCTCATTGTCTCGCCAAGGACAAGATGGGGGCTCAGTCAGCACCACATCAGAATAATGAGTCTTAGAGGAAATCTGTGGTGCAAAAAAAAAATGTGTGCCGTCATTGCCGATCTCTCCTTCAGAAAAATGCCATGTGCCTGGCTGGCAGGACCGAAGGGTAAATCCCTCTAACGGTCCAGAATAGCCAAGAGAACCGGCATAGCAGGAGGTCTGCAGGCTGCTCAGGGTTGGCGAAGGAGCTCTGGTGTCTGCCCTTTGTATGTGTCAGGAGTTGTAGTTTGATTTTATATGACAAGAGTCACTTCAACCAAATCCTAAAAAATGATCCTTATAACCCCAATATGTCACTGTAAAGGGACTCTGTCATGAGAAGAGTATGGGGGGCTGCCACTGCAGGCATTCATTCAAAAATGCTGGATGCCTGGCTGTGTTTGACTCCAGTATATTGCAAACACGGTCCCAGAGCAAGCTGTAAATGAGCGCCAGAACTACTGGTCCCGGGTCAGTGGCTCAGCATTGAAGTATCAGAATGACAAGCAGGGAACTAGCATTGTAAACAGGAGAGTTCCGTAACAGCAGCCCCCCATAATCTCTCATGTGTAACTCTAGATCAGGGGTAGGCAAACTCCGGCTGTTGTGGAACTACAAGTCCCATGAGGCATTGCAAGACTGACAGCTACAGGCATGACTCCCAGAGGCAGATGCATCATAGGATTTGTAGTTTCCCCACACCTCCCCTGCTCTAGAACAACCCATTAAACCCTAATCTTAAAAGGAGAACTATGGGGTCAGGGCTTTTCCCCATAGTTCTCCTTAGGGTAACGGGAGGACACAAACTAGTGTCCTCCCGTCACCCTAAACTCAGTATATAGGGAGCTACAGCTCGCGGTATACTGAGACGCCGCAGCCAGAGCGGATCCCGACATCGATGTCTGGATCCGCCCAGCTGCGTGACTGACAGCTGGCTCTGCCTATCTAGAGGCAGAGCCAGCTGTACCCGCCCCCTCCCACGTCCGTTCCGCCAGCCAGCGCTGG